CAAGATCTGTGTGCTGTATTGTATACTAAGGTAGTTCCATCCTATGAGTCTTAAATACCTTCCCTCTTTTAACTACCTACCTGTCTACATTTGTTCAATCCAAGTTACTTGCCAATGTCCTCACTGTAGATCCATATCAGGTGAATCAGCAAATGAATGTCTTGTTCACTCAGCATACAGCTTGATCTCATCCATAAAGACAATGTGGCTAATGGTAGTTCTGTATTCTAACCTTGTGATAATATGGCTGCAGAGGTTCAAGCCTGTGCTGAACAACAGCAGAGATAGCATATCACCTTGTCCTATTACCTTGTTCTACACTTGTTAACTACTTGTGCAAGCTGTCTTGAGTTCATTTAAGTTGATTGTCCAGTGTTCCAAAGTCCCATTGATTTCTTGAGGGTGGTCCTTAGGATCCTGTTCACTTTGTATAATATCAACTGTTCATGTGTGCAGGATTGAGTTATAGGCTTCCCTGTAGCCAATCTGAACTGTGCTCTGATTGGTACCTTGCATCCCTGATGACTGTCATATATTAGAAACTGGTGTCTTTCTCTGTGGTGTTGTTCCTAAAGCCCTTCTGAGCTCAGCTTAATGTGACAATAAGTACGTGTGCATGTGTATGTGTGTGTATTGCAATTTTTAGAATGATTCATGAGTTTGAAAAGTGCTTCAAGATCTTCATCTTCCTATTAGTCAGAAAATATTCTGTGAAAGATTCAGATCAATGTTCCAAAGTGCAAGCAGTTGCTTCTTGTCTATCCAGCAGGTTCTTCCCTCCAGTAATAAGAGACCCAAGACTGTTTAATCAATATTTCACCCTCCAAATTATTCTAAATTATGGAAGTCTTTTTAATTTTTCTGACTGTATCCTGTTTCAACATATATAAATGCAATAGAATAAGTGCAAAGAAAAGTATATTTAAATCCTAGAAATTTTCAGTACTGTATTTATGGTTTTCATTTTTCCTAATTACAGGGAATGCTTTCTAGTTTACAGTTTAATGTAATGTTCTAGTATATACACATTTATGTAGGGTATTAAGACAGCCTAGAACTACTTTACTGGCATTCATTCATTCATTTAAAAAAAATCTTTCCTAAAATACACCAATGCCTGTACCTTACAAGGTGATAAGAACAAAATTTATTACCTGTATTTTCCCTAGCAATTCTTAAAAATATAAGGCCTCAAAAATATTCATAATCTTATCTTCTAAAGATAAAGTCCCTTTGTAAAATTTAATTAAGAATGCAACAAGATTGTCTAAAATTAACTGTACTGTGCCAAAAGCACTATGCCTATTATATAATTTAATTGGTTAAAGTACATATTCCCTCAGTTTAATTTTTACAGCCAGATCCATTTATCTATGTTATATTCCTCACAATAATAATTTCAAGTATGCCATCTTTATTCTATATTACTGTCCTGTAAAGCAATACAAATCACTTTTCTGAGGATCAGAAGACTACTAAAAGACTAAATGCATCTGCAGTTTTAGAATCTCAGAGATGAGAAAGTAGCTTGCACTATTATAAATGCTTCTATTGTAAATACAATTACTACACATATTAATACTCTCAAATACATTTACATTGGTTAGAAGAGTCTGAATTTCAAATCATATCACTGGAAGTGATAATGTTAGGAAGAATTCTTCCAAAATTTTACTACATGGGTAGCCTGTAATATCAAGATTATGGAATCAGTTGGACATCCTTTTCTGCAACTGGAGAAACAGCTTCAACATCAAATGAATCAATTCTCTTCCTATCTTCCTGTCACACTTTTTTCTTCTGAGATGGCTGAATTTGGTCTAGCAGGGGTGTACAAGACTATACTGATAATACCTGTATAGCTGAAATAACAAAGATCAAGTTTGTCTGCCAAGACCTTCTTCTGTTCTTGAAACAGCTGGCAGTAGAAGGCAAAAATGAAAAAAACAATGAATGACTACAAAGCAATCTATTCTGACACTTTTTGTCTAGCAAGCTACAGTATTTACTTTCTTATTTGTAGGATATTGTCATAAAGAAAATCACACTTTACTAAGAGTAAGTATTCTTCACTTAAACTTTTGAAATTAGTTCATTCAAATGGATTTTTAGCCCTTCTTGTGTCCTATGTCTAATCCAAGTCTAATTTGTCTATCTTAAATTAAAAACAAAATAATTCTCCTCAACTGCCAGACAATTAAACAACCATCAACTTAAGCCGGCAATAAATAGTCAAAAGCTTGTAGCAAGGACAGGCCTTATGCTAATAATTCTTACAAATGAAACGAACAATTATTTGAGCTCCTCTTTCTTAAAAGTGAAAATGGTATTTTGCAAACCACACAATTTTACTACTCATAAAAAGTCAATATGATTAGAAGTCCTATTTTCTAATATGGAAAAAAAACCCAAATTTGTTAGAAAAACTGAAAAGATATATTTCAATGAGTTTTGAATATAATCAGAATGATTTAATGTTCTGTAATATAGAATTAAGTAATAAAAGAAGTGGTTTTAAGGCATTAGAATACTGTTACATTTTAGTTAGAACTGCAGCACCTGTTTTAGCGGCTGAAATAAAATTATTTAAAAAGTGACATGGCAATGAAAACAAATAGATTTCCTCAGGGGAAAAGTGGTTTTGAACCTAAACTTATGCATTTTTATAATATGATAAATTAAAATTAACTTAAACGCTGACATTAAACTTTAGTTGAACAGTTGTTCATCTAACTGTTCTTTATAGACTGCTCCCGTATGAGAAAACAACTTTTGTCTGTAATACTGATGAAATCTAAGATAAAGAATAAACTAACTTAATCAGTCTTATTACTTTAATGCAAGGAAGAATACCTATACAGTATAAGGGGCATTAATTTTGGAACAAATTATATATTTACATGAACATTGGATAGAAAGTCCTTATGCCTACCTAAAGTTACAGTGAAATCTATCAACTCTAAGCAGGGCCATATAAGATATTTCAGTACTTGGAACAAACTACTGCATTTATTTATTCTATAGTGCTTCCTGAAGTGGGTTATTCCTTCTGTCTTCAGACTTATTATTTATTATACAGACTTTATACAGTTAGTTTTTGCTTTATGATCATTCATTCAGTGATCACTCAAAGTTACAATGGTTCTAAATGAAGGGGAATTAAGATTAGTCCTAGGAGTTGAGGCTGTTGCAAGGTCCCTCTGAAGACCCAGACCGTTAGGGGCAATATGCTGACTCTGTAAACTACCTAGAGAGGATTGTAAGGCACTGTGAAGCAGTATGTACGGTAAGTCTAAGTGCTATTGCTAGTATATGATTGCATTCTGAGCATTTAGTGCCCAACTCAAAATAGCAATAGCATTCAGCCCTAAGCGGTTTACAGCATCAGCATATTGCCCCCAATAATCTGGATCCTCATTTTACCAACATCTGAAGGATAGAAGGCTGAGTCAACCTTGACCCGCTCAGAATCGAACTGGAGTAAGCAGTGAGTTAGACCTGCAGTACTGCATTCTAACCACTGTGCCACCATGGTTCTAGCTGCAATCATATAATTGTGATTTCTGCTGGGTTCCCATAAGCAAAGTCAATGGGGAAATTGGCAGAACTTGGAAGATATGATTATATGAGATCCTTGTTTAATGACCTGAGAACTACCTGTAAATGGTAAAAGCTACAAAACTAAGTTTTTCTCTTGATTTTATCGGAAAAAGGAAAAAGAAAGGGGAAGGGAAAGCTGGTTAACATTAAGGAAACTGTGGGCATACTATTCTTTGGCATTTTCAATGTTAGTGTTCAAGCCACACAGGTAAGCAGAGATAAAGGTGGGGAATATCAAATATAGAAGATCAATATGACTGTCTATCTAGCAGCAAAAGGTTATGATGTCGGGTTCAGGCGTTCTAGCTGCTTGGATACCTTAAGTCAGGTACTGTAGCTAGAGATGCTGCTTTCATCTACATAAGATCCTGGAAGTCCAGATTTATAATTGTAAAAATAAATTCCTGGAATGAGTTACTTTTTATCCACTTGGTTGAAGGACTGTGCATAAATCTGTTGTGTGAACTCTATATAAACTGGAAAAAACCCACATACTGCCATGAAACATATATTCAGGGACATTTATGTGTGCATAGGACATGTCAACAGCCTACAAGAGCCATGGTAGCGCAATGGTTAGAATGCAGCACTGCAGGGCTAACTCACTGCTCGCTCCAGGAATTCAATTCTGACCTGCTCAAGGTTGACTCCGCCTTTCATCCTTCCCTGAGGTTGATAAAATGAGGATCCAGATTGTTGGGGGCAATATGTCAACTCTGTAAACCACTTAGAGAGAGCTATAAAGCAGTATATAAATCTAAGTGCTATTGCTATTGCTACTTGCTATTGATCTTATATACCAGCAATTTGTGTTTACTGCTGTGGATGCTCTTACATAAATTTGCAATTTATGGCAATATACATGTAGTTTAAATTACATGCTGTAAATTAAAATACTGTGATGCTGAATTCTATGCGATGGGGACGAGGAAAGCTTTGAATTGCGTAGACATAATTCTCAACATTCATGCAATGCTGTCTTTTTTAGGTCTAGTCAAAATTTAAGTGCTGTGGAGTTCAAAAATATCTTGTTTCCAGTGTTATCAGATTACCAATTCCACAGACAACACGACACATTATTCTAAATATTGGTTTACAAGCCCATGCACGCGCTGGTGGGGGAGTGAGGCAATATAGGACGATTAAATACATCAAGATTAGGATTACGAGTACCATTTCCCTTAATGACTATATAAGCATCTCCCCACGGTCGTAATCAATAGCTATTTACTTATGCAAGTCATCCCCCCCCTCAAAAAAAGTCGTTTCAGTCTCTTTTCCGTAAGGGTTACTTCCGGCCCCTTTACAGATGTTCTGCAGAAGTCCCGAAGTCGCCCACCACTTCACCTTTTCAACTGATTCATGAAATCACAGTTAGAGTAGGAGGAGAGCGCAGAGCCGGAAGTCCTTCCCCGAGCTCCCATTGGTCTTTTACTTTATCAATCAGGCTCCGGAGGACCAACACGCTGCCAGCGCTGCCCTGCATTTCCCTTTAAGTAGGGAGACCTAAGAAAAGGAGTTCTGTGCCTCTCTTGCCCTTTCCCTTCGCGAAGTCTCGTTTCTTTGTGGTCTGTGAATGTGAGTCCTTTCAGCGTTTTTGTTTCAATCCAGTTCTCCCTCTCTCCGCCCCGCCCCCGCCGTCCGCTTCCCCGTCGCGCGCTCACGTTTCATTGGGCAACATCTGGCAAGGGAATCCCAATACCGTTAGAACGGGAGTGGTGGTGGAGTGGAGGGCCGGCGCGAGCCATTTTCAACTCGCGGGCAGCGTGCCCGGGTTTCTTATCCCAGGATTCCGAACGGCGAGAACCATCCAAGGCAACTCGCCCGCCGTTTGGGTTGCAGCGGGTCTCGCCGCCGCCGGCCGCCGCCGCCTTTCCCTGCCTTTCCTTAGCTCCGCCCTCGCAGCCCGCCCCCACACGCCCCTTACCCGCGCGCCGCCGAACCAGGAGCAAGAGCGGGCGAGAACAGCGCTGCTGCCGCTGCCGTTTTTGCTGCCGCCGCCGCCGCCGCCGCAACGGGCCCGCGGTGGCGAAGTAACTACCCATGTTTTCTTCTGGAACCCCAGCAGCCGCAACGACTTGGGGGAGAGGCGTCCCATCGCTCTTGGCTCTGCCGGCCTCGCTGCGGAGGCTTAAGGCGTGCCGTGTGGTGCTGCTGGCTGCTCGGGCTGCTCCGAGGGACGGAGAGCGTTTACCAAGAAACCGGAACCAGGAAAACTGCTGGGATTTAATAACACGGACTGCGCTGCGGGCTGTTGTGTGCCCGGAGGGGAGGCAGGGAAAAGAGAAAACAAGAGATCGCAGTGAGGCGGCAGAAAAGCTCACCAGGCGGCACTTCTTGGGGACACAGTTGCCTAACCTTCGACCTCTCCAAAGCCGGCCAGAGAAAAGCAAGGGAGGCTGACGGTTGTTTGAAACTCGTCTTGGATTCTGTGGATTTCACAAAAAAGCAACTTTCCCTTTCCATTCTGGAATTTATTTTCTTTTCTCGGTACTTTTAAAAACTATAACGGTACCCACAGACAAGTATCGCGTATAGTCACCGACTTGTACGTATTTTTAATGTATTTGTCCCATTATGTACACGGTGTGTAAGAGAAGAGATGTAATTGCTTTTTTTTTTTCATCCCCCTTCTGCTACCAGATGCTGGGTGGGGGAGGGAGGTTGATAATATGGCTGTTAAAACCTTTGTTATTCGACAGATGTATTTGTCCCTTGTGAACCATATGTGAAAAGAATTATTTGTGAGAAAGTGTAAGTTTTAACATGGAAAAGTGAGCATAAAAACTGAGGGGTGGGTTGATAACATTTTTAAAGGTATAAAAAGAGGTAGATGGAAAAAAATAACAATGTGCATGATTTTTAAAACTATATTTCCATAAGATGTACTCTATTAACAGATAATGATATTTGATCAAATTTCTTTCTCGATAAAGAGTATCAGGTTTTTCTGGTTCTTCTTCACTCTCAAAAGTTAAAACTCCCAGTATAGGTTGCATATATTTTTCCATAGAGTGACTGTGTGAAATCAATGTTGGTATATTTTATAGTTGGGCAAGAGAGACCAACAATATCACAGCATTACATTCTTTTTCTTTTCTAAATTTAAGATCCCAGATGGCCAATTCCCTCAATGGCCGGAACCCAGGTGGCCGAGGAGGAAACCCCCGCAAAGGGCGTATTCTGGGATTCATTGATGCTATTCAGGATGCAGTTGGCCCCCCCAAGCAGGCAGCTGCTGATCGCAGGACTGTGGAAAAAACTTGGAAATTAATGGATAAAGTGGTGAGTCTGTAAATTATATTTGTAACAAAAATATATGTACACAGGAATTATTGATGGATTAAACAAAACCATGTGTGCTTTCAGGTTCATTATAGATAGTACATGCTTATTCAGCCTTTAGCTCTGTTTATTCTAGTATAAAAGAATATTAAATATACTTTAAATATACAGTTCTTCAACTGTAAAATTGTTAATATGCAGTTTGTTTCATATATACTACTTTGACATATGTTGTTGTACTGTTTCCTTGAAAATGAAACTTCAGTTCAGGCAATCAGATTGAGATCCAGTTTTAATGTTAATCATGAATGTAATCAAATTTGCTGAAAAAGTAGCAGGTTTATTATTTTGACTAGATGAACAACAATTTAAACATTATCCTCAGTTGTAAGGGCCCAATAAAATTATATTATGTAACCAAATCTTGAAAAATTATTCATCTTTGGAGGATAAAGTAACATACTAAAATATCATCTGTCTTAAACTAGAATTACTTATTTTGTAGATTATTACAGTAAGAGCATGTATTATGAAATACATATAAAAGGAAATGAGAGTATGTTTTCTGAACAAAAATATGTATTGTTATGGAAGATATTCTTAAAATTATGTATGCAATACTTGTGATAAGCTTAGTATAATGGCCCATTTTCAATCCTTGCAAATTACATTTTACACATAGATTTATGTATGTGCTTTAATTGTAGTGTTCATAAAACATCACAAGTGTAAGTAGAAAATGCTAAATACATACAACTATGTAACATAGCCTATAAAACATTTTTAAAAGGTTACCAGTCTGTCTAATAGTACATGTTTCCATGAAGACGTTCATGGATTCTTTATGAGAAATAGGCCTGCTATAAACAGTTTAAATAATTTGCATTGATTAACAAAGACACAAGTTCCTTATAGGGTTTTATGCATTATATTATTCCCCTACTGTTGTATGGCAAGGTAGTTACAGTTTTTCCCAGGAATTGAATCCTGATGTGCTATCAACTTTGGTGCCTCATGAAAGTTGTTTAAATATAGTATTACCAAAATTGTGGCAATAACTCAAGATTGAAATATATGTGTATAAAAACCTTATATATATATAAAAACCTATTTTCTTAGAATCAGTTCAGAATTTAAAATGTTAGTATAAATTTATTGTTGACTCAAACCTGTGAAGACTGGAAAGTTTTTTATTTAGTTGCCAAGTCATTGTCAATTCCAAATCTGCATTTTTTAATTGCACTTTTACATTTAGTTCATAGTGGTTTAGTACAATTTTAAAGGAACAAACTTTAAGATTAAAATGTTAAGAGTAAAAACAATTACCTGCTGAAGTTATGGGTTATACTCTTTTTAAAAAATAAACTTTTGTTGGATTCCAACATTAACCTGGAAGCTGGACATGGTGACCTCAGTTACTCTTTCTACTCTATAATTCTGTGAAATACAATAAGTTGAAATGTTGGCAAATTACAGGACATAAGTATGCAATTCTAGTTATATTACATTGAATATAACATAATAAGCCGTCTATACCAGCTCAAAATGTTTTACAGTCTGACTTTGCCTATTAAAGCCTGAATCTTTCACATTATTTTCTATTCTGATGTTTTTGGCCAGAAATGCCAAAAATTGAATGTGGGGCATCTTGCATAACCTCTTGACTTCTGATTATGGTCTTACTTCCCAAAGTAAAAACATTTTAAAAAGAGTTGGCCATGGTTTACTTTTACCCGATGACTGATCCATATTCTATATTGCAACATTATCCTGGGACAAGTACATTAGACTTCATTCATGAAAGTTGGCTATTCTCTAAATGCATAATATTAGATAACTCTTATTAGCTTTTCAGTTTTAGTTTTTATTTAAAACATTTATATCTTGCCTGTTTACTTCAGATTTCAAGACATATTATAATAATTAAATATTACTGCTGAAAAATTTCTTCGAAAAATTTCTTCGTTTAGAAAAGCTTATGAACCCAAATGGTTTAAGCAGCCATGCCATTTTTTTAGGCTCATGGTTGTCTCATGACTGCTATATCACTATACTTACTATATCTGCAAGCAATTTGTGCGTGTACATATCTGGAAATCGTCAAGAGCAGTTCCCAAAGCAGCTGCATGAGTGCATGAGTCTGGAAAAAGTTTACCAGTTGGGAACCATATTTTTAAATGGATTTGAAAATAATTTGAATTAACTTTCCTGGTTATTTTAATTGTTAAAGAAGAGGTAGCCTGCAATCCCAAATTCATAGAATAGTTAGGTATCTTTTTTTCTGAGCTAGACAAAAAATTTTTACACACAGCTGTGTACCTTAACATTAATTCTTGATCTCCTTGCCACATTGTATTTCAATTGAGAAGGGCTTTTTTTTAAGGATTTGCACAATGTTATGACATAGTAACAGTTTAAAATCTTAAAACACAAAGCAGCAGAAATATTAAAATTTATAATTGATAGCATTTTGATGAGTTAGTGTGATATATGGAATCAAGGGCTTAATCTGAACACCTGTAATATTTGTGAATTCGGCCAACAAAATTAAATGGGATTTTTATTTGTTTGATGTCCAAAATGTTTTCTTTTCCTTCCCATGGTCTGTGTACATGAAAAAAAATGTTACTTAGTTTAAAGTTAAAAGATTCTTGTTTTTATCATTTTTCAACTAAAAATTAAGGACTTAAGGGATTCATTTAACAAAAATGGCAAGAAAAGTCATAAAATGAGGCAAAATTCACTTAACAAACGCCTCACTTAGCAATGAAACTTTGGGCTCAATTATGGTCATAAGTCGAGGACTACCTCTACTAATCATACCATTTATCTAATTTGAGAGAAATTTCCAATGAGATATGTCTTTAGGTTTAAACCTCTGCCGCATGCAATTTGCTGAGATATTTTGGCACATCTTAAAGTTTGTAGCACATGGTTTTAAGTTTCTTCTTGGATACTAGATGATCTGGGATAATAAGCTACTAAGGTCATGTGCTGTAACATAAAACTTGAGAGTACAGGAAATAGCTTTACAGACATGCGAACATGCCCCTCCCCCATACAAAATGACAGAGTATATATTGATTAAATCTAGATTTAGAAAATTGTGCATTAAAATTTGTTTACTCAGATGATCTATATTTCATCAAACATTATTAGTCTTGGGATCAAGTTTTGAGAAACTTCAGTAATATTTTAATATTATAATTGATACTAAAACTATATGAAAACATTTAATTTGTTTAAACATTTGGTTCACTATCATTATAATTTTTAAGAGCCTTCATATATTGGGCAAAGTTCTAAGATCTGGAAGTTCAAAAAAAAAAAAAAGGTCTCCTGCTTGCCCTGTGCCCACTACAATTCAGTGTGCTCTCCTGAATAATATATTATTCTGATATATAAATTTGTTTCTCAGAATTGTTTTCTTCTCCATCTAATTTATAATATTTTTTTTTCAAACTTATGATAACCTATGTAGCAATCCCTCAGTCTGATATATATCATGATTGTTAGAAAGATCTTTTGAAAGCTGAATGGAAGAGAGTAGAGATATATTCTTGTGATATAAAACTTCCATATTTGAAGCAATATTTATATTCACACTAATATTTTTAAACAGAAACATCTGATATATAAACATAAGTAAAAGATTTTTTTAAATATCTTCTATAAATAGGCAATGTCTAATTTTGTACATTGCTTTTTCTTAATAAACAGTAATTCACAACAAAATGTAGCTATTGTTATTCTAGCAGTTATTTCTATGATACCATTCTAGCTTACATCACTGGTATTTCCCTGATTGTCTCCTGTCCAAATTCAAATTAGTAGTTCTAATTTTCCTGATTTGTTGCTACATCTTGTAATAGAAAATTCTGTACTTTGACTATGACTGAGTTTATATTAAGGAATGTGAGTTGGGAAATGGGGCTTGGTGTGATATGTAGTCATATATTATGGTCTGTAAACTGGTTAGTGTAAAACAGGACACAGTAACTAATGAATAAAACAATCTGTAACCTGGTTCAGTAGTTTCCCAACTTGAAAGCTTTCCTGATGTATGGACAGAATTCTTACAGAATTTACAGTGCCAAGTAAAGATATATTTGTTTTTTATTTCATTTTTATAGAAGGATCTCTTAATACAGAATTACACTCTGGAAATATTGTATAAAGAAAACTAGTAATTTTATCAAAATTTGACAAAATTGCAGCTATCAGTTCAACAAACTAAAATGTCATCAGTAAATCTATTCACTGTTTTTTTTTTAAACTGACATTTCATATTGCTAATAGACACATGATTTTTATATAATCTAATCTATTTGGATTAAAAAAAATTCTTAAAATATTTTGGAATCTGCTTGTTGTCTGTCTATCTATCTATCTATCTATCTATCTATCTATCTATCTATCTATCTATCTATCTGTCTGTCTAATCTGACTGACCCAATTTTATTCTGGCCAGATTTTCACACCTGAAAGTCATTTACTCTGCACAGGAGGAAGTGGTGTAATGGGTGTGAGGCCATTCTGATTTCCTGTGCTAAGGAAGCCTGCTTCATTTACCGTGTAAACATATTTTTATTAGCATCCTTTGGTATTGAATAGAATGATAATAAGAAAAAATTCTTAGCTGTGATAAAGTATATATTTATTGTATTTTAATGTATCTTTGCTACTAGAATAGAATAGAACAGAACAGAACAGAACAGAACAGAACAGAACAGAACAGAACAGAATACTTTATTGGCCAAGTGTGATTGGACACACAAGGAATTTGTCTTGGTGGAAATACTCTCAGTATACATAAAAGAAAAGATACATTCATTAAGGATCAAGAATCATAATGTACAACACTTAATGATAGTCATAGGGTACAATCAGTAATCAAATCATACTACAGTCCATATAGACCGGAAGGATACAAGCGACAAAGTTACAGTCCTACAATCACAAGTGGGAGGGGATGGGCGATAAGGAGTGATGAGAAGGTTAATAATAATAGTAGTGCAGACTTTGTAATAGTTGAACAGTGTTGAGGTAACTATTTGTTTAGCAGAGTGATGGCTTTTGGGAAAACCCTGTTCTTGTGTCTAGTTGTTCTGGTGTGCAGTGCTGTAGAGCATCGTTTTGAGGGAAGGAGTTGAAACAGTTTATGCCCGGGATGTGAGGGGTCTGTAAATATTTTCACAGCCCTTTTTTTGATTAGTGCAGTATACAGGTCCTCGATGGAAGGCAGGTGGGTAGTAATTGTTTTTTCTGCAGTCCTAATTATCCGCTGAAGTCTGTGTCTGTCCAGACTACTAAATCTGGCCAATTTGCTTTACTTTAAGATTCATATAATGACTTAATTTATAGTTTTCATACTTTAAAAATTATTTTGGGAGTTTTTGACTTTGTTCCTTATAAAATATGGAATCGATAAAACATTTTAAAGGAACATTGCTCCGCAATGCAGTCTTAATCTAGAATGAAGCTGGTCCTTATGAAGAACTGTTTAAGGACAGATTTACAAGGGCTGCTTTCCATGGTGCAACTGTAGTTAGATATTCACATAGAAGTATGCAGGTAGTAATTTGGTGTGTAGAACTTCTCTTTCTTTTCCTTGAAAAATCTAAAGTTGTTTTTTCAAGAAATAGAAAGCTTGGCCTTTTAAAAATGGGGCAGTTTATTATTAGCTAAATGTGATCTATTGCTTAATTATATACTGTACTATGGTACTTATACCAAAATACACACACAGTCTTTAGACTAAAATGTTCTTGAACAGGGGATTAACAATTTGTAAAAAATTTATGTTACTACATCTTGTTATTATAAAATGAGTGTGCTTTCTGGTCATCTTGTTCATAGAAACTATAAAATAATACAACTATATGAAAGTTGAATTAGAAAATAATCTCAGAAACCCCAAATATGATCCTCGGACTGATTCCTTTCAGCTGAAACTTTAGTTTATTTATTAAAACATTTTTAAAAAACAGACAAAACTACACAATAGCTGAAATGTACCAGTAGCTGAAAAGGAAACTTGGTAGGATGGTCTTTAACTTAGAACTATAATTGGAACCAAATTTCTATTACCAAGCAAGGGAATTAAGTGATTTCATGACCTTTATCATGTTTTTTAAGTGAATCCCTGCAATTGTTAAGTGAATCACATGGTGGTTAAACAACCCTAGTTTTCCCCATTGACTTTGCTGGCTGAGAAAGTCTCAAATGGTGATTGTATGACTTGGGCATGCTACAACCCATGTTGGTTACCAAGTACCCTATTTTTTTTCCTCATAGGGATGCTACAGTGGTTGTAAATATGAGGATCAATTGTAAGTCACTTTTTTAGTGTTGTAACTTCAAATGATCATTAATTGAATTGTTTGTATATTATTTGCACACAACATATGTTTTGCTAAAAGACAAAATACTGACAGTATACTTTTTTCTTTTAATTGGCTTTGGTCTTTGCAAGAACCTTTATTGATATAATTAGCTGTGCTACTTCTTCGTTTTAAGTATGTTGGCCTGTGGAGTAAAAGAAGAGCCCTGTTTTCTTTCATGGGGTTTGTTATGTCTTTAATCAGATGGAATACTTGTTACACACAAGCAACATGTGTAAGGTTTTGACTTATCTGTGTAATGACAGACACCTATTTTCATTTCTATATATTCTTTTAAAAATAGAATTTTTATTATATATTTGTTTTGCTGAATTTGGAGGCTATCCAACCTGACGGCTTTGAGAAGCTTACTAATAAGATAAAACAATATAAGATAATGGTATTTGGATACTATGGAATCCCATTGGGTGATTTGAGGGAAACCACTCTCTCAGCTCAACCTACCTTACAAAGTTGTTTTGGTGATAAATAGAAAGTCAGTACATGCTGTACTGACTTCTACAAAGGTGAGATATACAGTAAAATAACAACTGTAACATAAGTTGTGACGAACTGCTTGGGCAGATTTGTGGTTTAAATAGATGAACAGTTCTATACCATGTCCATTGTGGAAATTGAAATTTCTATCAGGATGGTGAACAGTTAAATACTTCTTATGGCTTGTAATGGAAGGAAAATGTGAAAACAAATACATAGAAGAAAAGAGATGAATATAGTTCTTTCCTCATTTTTGAAGTGTCATCAATAAGGTGCTGTATTTATTCAATAATCTCAATTAATCAATTTTATCTTTACATCTTGCTATTTTTATTTTTCTCTTTTTGTTGATCAATAATACTAAAATTCTTTCTACAGTCATTCTCAGTTCGAAACCAACAATGTTTTTGACTGGATTCATAATATGTCTATGTAAGTCCATAGAGATTCTCAGTCATCCAGGTTATGGTTGTCCCAAAGCTGCTTTTTGAGGAAGCAACTGGACTTTTTTTCTATGGGATGGGTCTCTGTATTTGAACAGTTGAGTTCTAGATAATGTTATAACTTAGGTGTAAGCCTTCCACCACTATCTTACTCATATACAATAAATTTTGAGATAGGTGAACTTCATTGTTAAATTTATGTACATTATTCTTTAATTGTAGGTCAGACTGTGTCAGAATCCCAAACTTCAATTGAAAAATAGCCCACCTTACATACTTGACATTTTACCGGATACGTACCAACACTTGCGACTTATTTTGGGCAAGTATGATGATAACCAGAAACTTTCACAGCTCAGTGAAAATGAATATTTTAAAATCTATATTGATAGCCTCATGAAAAAGTCAAAACGAGCTATAAGACTTTTTAAGGAGGGAAAAGAAAGAATGTACGAAGAACAATCACAGGACAGGTAAGAGAATTTACATATCTATCTAAACTGTTTAATTCTTTTAGTATATATTTACGTTTTTTTTCTCTTTAGGAACATTCTATATGCTTTCTGAACAAAATTCATCAGGCTTTTTTTTGCTATTCAGAGTGAAAATACATAACATTTTAATGTATGTGCAAGTTTATATTGTTCAAATTGATAGCCTTTTGACGTGTTTTCCTAGAGAGCCACAATTGAGGTTTGATTTGGATCCTTAGACTTTTCAGCACAAATAAATATTAATTTGTTTGGAAATACCAGTTTGTAATATAATTAGTTTCATTTGTTTGTAAAATAGTTTTGCACATTGTTAGACCAGTTGTAGTTTAATTATATGTTTGGGAAGGCTTTTAAATGTCAGTGCTGACGCTTGTTTTCCTGTGAGCTAATAGTATTAGATGAAGTTTTTGAAGTCTGTTATGGAACTAGTTATATTTCTATATATATATTTATGTATATAAAATAATGATTATAATCTAAAATATATATTCTTTAGTTAATATTCCAGGTTTTAATGTTAATCATCAGTGACTAAGAATGCAAGCTATATTTTCATAACTAATGTCTTAATATCATTAACAGAAATTTAAATGCCATCTTTTTTTGTCTGCTAGAGCCATTTCATAATTTAAAATGAGTACCAGGCATTTTTAAAATTTAAAATTAAGAATTTTTATGATACAAGAAAAAAGGAACCCACCTATTTGATGTTTTAACTTCATTTATAGAAAGGTTTTTTTTTCATACTAAACATTCCTATTTTGGATAAAGTTATTAGCTAAATAGATAATTAGAATTATTGCTTTTAAAAAGAAATGCTGAAAAATGAGGAAAACCTTTTGACTTTGAGACAGGAAAGTGGGTGGCAAGCATGAAAAACTCAGTGGAAGAACTTAGTATTTCTATCCTTTCATTGCATGAAAGGTTTTCTTGATTTCTGACTTTAAAGTGGCCTAATCCATCATTTCATATTTGAAAGAGCTTAGGTTCCCCCCCCTCCAAGTACACAGAAACAGTTTTATATTTAAAGGTTAAGTCACTTGTTACTAATTGGCTACACTTGAGGTAGCGAGCTAAGTAAATTGAAGTTATTCTGCTTTGGATATGTTCAGTTGTTTTGCATCATTTATAAAACTAGTTAAATTTTGCCTATGTATAAGTGTTGTGCCATGAGAAGTGAAAATGACAATTCAAAGCACAGGTGAAGTGTATTAATGCCTGAGATATTACATTGAGATACATACAGAGCACATAAGTGTTATTGAATAACTAGACAATATAATTCATGAAGTTATCATTTTAGAGAAATTTCCTTACCAGATTCCTCACTGCCTTCAACAATGGCAAAACTTCGAGTATACATGAAAAGTTCTTACAAAGGTTCAGGGAGAACCTGTCTTGAAAGTAGCTCATATTGAACTATATAACTCACTCAAAAATCAGATATTGACCACGGGAGACTTTTTATGACATTTTATATTGTCATAAATTCTTTTTGATAATTTTTATATCATAAACTGTTTTATAAAATTTGCCAAACATTTAATTCCATGGGAATCATGTATCCTAGATTTTGGATGCGCTTTGTCAGTTAGCTTTTTTGAGTTAACTGATATAGATATAGAATGATGGGATTCTATATCTATATCAGTTACCTTTTTCAGGGCTTTCAGGGCCTATTCTGTCAACGGATAGTTTGTGGCATATTTTATGATTACTTGTTCCTTTGCTGTTGTTGATAGATTCTAAAACATAGAAGCCATCAACCATTTTTATGTCTTCATTAGTAATTCTAAATTGGCAAAAGTAGACTGATACTAAAAATTGCTTTCCAAATCAAATATCTGATGACATATGCTCCTGGGTACAGAAGTAGTCTGGTGGAGTTACAAGGGCACTGCAAATCAAGAGGAAAGTATTAATATACTGGACAAAAGTTTAGTTTTTCTTTTTTTAAGTGGCCAAGGCACGATTAGGTAGGATATATTAACAGAAACATAATATTATTGCCATCAATAGAGGAAGGATGATTTTTGTCTCCTCATGCATGAATAAATATTTTTTTCAAATATAATTTTAACAAATTTTATCCCAATAAAATTCATACCAAATTTATTGGATAACACAATCTGGCGTTGGAAATGTTGACTAATAACATACCAACTCAACTACATCCTGACTATGTTTTTAGTAATTTAAATGTTCTAATTAAATAGGAGCCCAACTTACTAACAAAATTGAAAGTCCATAAAATAGAATATTTCAGGTTCTGTTTATTTCTGTTTAATGTAGAAATGTTAATAAAATCAAACTTGGCTCTAGGATCATGATTTAATTAGGGCATCGGTCGGAACCCTGACAGAAACCATCTCAGTATAACTTACTATTGTAATCATGCTAATAGGTTGCCTGAAACTGATGAATATGATTTGTTGAAATGGTAATGGAACACTGTCACTAGAAACATGAACAAAGAAAAATCTTGGTTAAGACTAAAGCCATTCTACTTTATATGTCAATAAACTATGGCTGGCTTATTATCACTTTGCCCAGTCTCTGAGTTTCAGACTTCCTTTTCTGTCACAGATCATTTATCTGTTAAGACTAATGGAGCTGTAAACATTTTTTAGTAGAACTTATCGTTTGCCAGTAGGTATATATATCCAGTCACTTAAGACCAAAATAACTGGTGCCTAAGCATTGTCAGACTTCAAACAAATGAAGCTAACTTCATTGAATAACTTATAACATATTGTTTTAATTTTAAATATGAAAGGGTGGCTGTTTATGTAAGAAGAAGATGAAATAAACAAATATGTATGGCAATCACTTTGAAGTGGCACATTGTTTCTCTAGTTCTGAAAAATTTTATATGGTAGAGTGTTTTTCTTCCCAGTGTCTCTGTGTTTGTATATGCATAAGAGAATTAATGATAATTGCTTAAGAATATGTTATTCTGTCATTAAAACATCTTAATTTTCAAGTTTTGCACAATAGGTTTTCTATAATAATGTTTTTAGTTTTTCTTTCATCTGGAAACATCAAGATCTATATTAGTTCAACTATATAATTAAATGGAAAGAATTAGATGATCATTCTTTAATTTGAAATCATGAAAACCTTGGTTGGTAACAAAAATATATTGGATGATTATTTAGCTTATACCTGTAGTTAAGATGAAAAATATGGTAGGTGATTTTAGAAAAATGTTGTACAGTTGTGCCATTGAAAAATTGAATAAGTACACTCACTAACATTTTACTTTTAGCATATTTCAACATAGATATTTGATCTTCATTTCAATAATATTAATATATAAAGGGGATGGAATATAATAAATATGTACTTTTATATTTGGTATTCCACTGCATAATTTAAATACACATAAACACAGATTTTGCATGTGGAAAAAATAAATACACTGTTAAATTTATCATTACTCAAGATACATAAAATCAGAATCAAATGCAAAAGACTAGATACTAATGATTAAAACATCATTAGAGAAGATCTAGAAACATGAGACATTTAGTTTTATTTGTTTTTTGTTATGTGTGATATCACCATTCCTAGATTACAAGACCTCTCTGAGCCTTTCTGAAAGAAAGTTAAAGATGCCTATGAGCCTCAGAAGGGATTTTAAAAGATTGTCAAACAATTGGATATCAGTTATTCCACTATCTGAAAGATCATGTACAAGTGGAAAAGATTTAAAACAATTTTAGCTTGGCTCAGCAAGTTCACCCTAAGAATAGAATTCCGGATGTTGAAAAAACTTTCTAAAAATCCCAGAGTTTTATTATTTGACATAAGAGAATTGTCATCATTATTAATGTAAAATTTATGAGTCTACTATTGGAAAGAACTCAACAAATTAGATCTAGGCAGATACCACAACTTCTGAAATAATGTGCTTTGGTTACACAAGGCAAAAACATATTATTTGGTCACCTTCCTAGAAGACATGTTTAATGAAAACCAATGATATCATTTTGTCAGAAGAACTTCTTACCAACAGTAAAGCATGATGGTGGAAATGTTATGATATGAAGCTACTTTGCTGCATCAAGGCCTAGATGGCATACAATCATAGAATCCACTATAGAATTTGTCACTGTACCCAAAAGTACCTGAGGATAACGTGATTACATCTGTCAGAAGTTTGAAGCTCAATCAAAAGTTGAGTCATTCTTGCCATATGACCATATCACTAAACATTCCAAGAAATGAAGCTTTTTGAAATGGTCAAATTAAAGCCCAGGTTTAAATCACATTGAGATGGTCTGGGTGTTTTGAAATGGACTGTGCATATAAGGAATTTTTCAAACATTGCACAGCTGGAAAAAAAATACATAGCAAAATGGGGAAAAGTTCCTCTCAGTCTCAGTTAATGTTAGAGAATAGAAAACAATTATTAGAACACCTATTTGAAGTTTTTTTGCTAAAGGAGACAGTGCGTATTAGAGCAAAAGGTATACTTTTCATACAAGAGTTTGCATTATTTTAATCATTAATAATCATGCAGAGGTCAAATGAATTGAAAACCACAAACTTAAATCATTCTAGGTGAAGGGGGCAAAAAAGAAAAAAGGGTGACAAAACCTTCAAAATTTCGTAAGTGTGGATAGACTGAATGGGAATGTGCAACCCATACTGTGATTGGGTGTTATTCGGGATTTTAAAATATTGATTACCATCTCAAATCCATTTAGCTCTTTTAAAATTGCTACAATGAGCCTAAATTCTTGGGCTGTTAGTTTAGTTTAAGGACAGTCACATGCAGAAAACATTGTAATAATTCATAAGAATAACTAATATTTTACCTAGTCTTTTATATTTGCATAATTTCCTTCTCTGTACCAAATTGCTTATTCAGTATGCATCCTTCCAAGTGATGGATAATGTGTGCTGGACAAAAACCCAAGTGGTTTCTCTACCATATTTTTCCCCACTAGGTAGGTTGTCAAAATAACAGAGAG